TCTGATTATGAATATTAATAAAAAGTAATAATAGTACTAAAAAACAACATTAAATTATGAGATTTGCAATCTTCAGTTGCCAATAAACCTGATTTGCAATGGGGGTTGAATAATTTTGATTACTACTGCACCACTAGTGACACCTCGCAACCTTGCAAACACCCCTTTCTTGCATTACACCTCCACACATGGGCGTGTTAGTGGGGGGAAAAGTGGACCTGACTACTAGGGTTGGGTATCGTTTGAATTTGAACGATTCTGATTCCGATTCCGATTCCTTGTTTCGATTCCGGTTCCTAACGATTCTCGATTTCGATTCTTTTAAGAGGCAGGGTCAAAAAAGTTTAGCTAACCTTGCTAACCAACGGTCTTTCTGAAGGAAATACTCCTTCTGTCACAAATACTTGTCACAAATTTTGCATTTTGCCGAGATTTCGTTAATTTTTAGAAAAGTGAAGCCACACTTTGGACCGCCGACGTAAGCTACTCATGTTCGACTCGCGCGGTTATGCCAACACTTCCGGTAGACGCTTCTTCGGTGGTGTTCAGCGGTTTCTTCTTCCGCTCGGCGGACTGTGAATATTTTAACTTTTGAACGATTCCGGGAAAAACGAAAAGTTAGTCCCGGTTCCAATCGATACTCGATTCTCGATACCCAACCCTACTGACTACCCAGGGCCCCGTCTAGGGAGAGGGCCCTTTGAAATCCCATCAATTTTTTTTAACCTAATCAGAATTAATTGGGCCCTCCAATTGATGTCATTAATAATCATTTAAAAAAATATTGACCAAAATGAGTGAGTGCCAGACACTCTGGACCCCCTTCCAAATGGCTTAAGGCCAATTTATACTTCTGCGTAGGGTGCGCGCAGTAGGTACGGCGTAGCATACGCACAGACGCGTCCCATACCGCGTACCCTTCCGCGTTGCCTGACGCGCACCTCTTCAAAAATGTAACTACACGTCGCGACGACGCGGACCGCAAGATCGGTGATTGGTCGGCTTGGTAGCATCGCATTTCCTCCTACGCATTTCCGCACGTACCTTCTCACGCATTTCCACACGTACCATCTCCTCTGACATCTTCTCTCATTTCTGCCTTTCAGTTTTAGTAATTTCACTAAAATGAACTGTTTTCCCACCCCAATAAGCTCCAAATCCAACATGATCCACTCTCTTTCAGTCGCTATTGCTTGTAGTAACCTAGCCGCGAGGAATCTAAACACAGTGGAACATTAAAACCCTCCGCCGCCAACTAGCGTTTCGGAGCAGTACTGCAGAGCAACCAATACCTGAACGCAGAAGTATAAATGCTCACGACGGCGTCGCCTACGTGCGAAGCCAACGCCGTACATTACGGCGTACCCTCGACGCAGAAGTATAAATTGGCTTTTAGTCCGCAACGCGTCGACCACCCATAGACGCAGCGGGCGGCAAACGACGAGTCTAAAGCCTGTAACGGGGGCCTGATCTGATCATGCTGTGCAAAAAGCCCAAATCGGGCTTTCAAAAAAAGAAAGAGAGGAAAGAAAAAGATAGGAGGCAGAATGCGGGGAAGCAGCTGATGACTGCTTTCTTCCCAAAAGGTGAACTGAGTTTGCTTGTTATGCACCTACTGTCCAATTAAAGTTAACGTAGTCACCTCCAGACAGCTGCTGCTAATGCAGGGTTCCAGACTGCGACCAAATTAGTCTCATATGCGACCATGTTTTGAGAATGTGATTGTGCGAGTTAAAATTGTATGTGGTCGCGTCGCATATGTGCGAGTGGACGCTCGCGCAAAAGACCGACCGTTGTATCAGCTGCTGCAGACTGCAGTCTGTAACTTATGTTCAAAACGAACGAATAGGCTACATCATGAATCCATTTTCCAAACCGTGTTTTTGACTTATCCTGAATCACTACAGTACGCCTGTTAAGTGTTTATATTCGGACTTTTTTTTTTATCCCGGATTCCCGGGGTTGACTCGGATGCGAAGTTGCACAGTGACCGCGTGACTCGCCATAGACATTAATGGAGAGAAGTAGCTCCGGCAACAGTGTTCTTCCGCAAAACACATAGACGTTACGCGCGCATTGCACACTGATGGTGGAACACGGCAATTGCGAATTGGCAATGACAATAATATATTACAGGTATTTATGCTAAGCCTTTGCTAGCTTTGGTCCATTAAAACCACTATTCATCGGCATGCATTGATTAATCCCATGGCAAAAAAAAAAAAAAAAAAAAAAAAAAAAAAACACGACGAAATCAAATGCTGGTGCGACCAACTGAGAAAGTTGGTAGCATCAGTTTAACCTGGTTCCTGAGGGTACAGTTGTCTCTCGTGTTCTTGTGTTCTCCTATTCAAAAATAAATGTTTTTCATTTAAAACTTGCATCAGTATCATGGATCAAAATGTTAGTACACAAAACCGATGTAGCCTAAGGTTTAAAGGTATTTGAACACAAGTAGGCCAAATGCATCAATTCAGGTGGTGAATGAAAGAACCGGTCATTACTATAATCTGATTTTATTATAGATTTAAACACTGTTTATACTTGTTTATGTTCAAATAATAAAAAAAATACATTTCATTCAAAATTGAAGTTTTATTTTGCTAACCCGCATCGTACAATGCCATGTGTAGGGGGCCCACTGACATTGAGAGTGTACAGGGCCCAGAATTTGGTGCTACGCCCCTGCACAACTCAATCATCACAGCTCCTACGGGTACTCGCAATGGCATCTCAATGGGTAAAAGTAGGCTACTTTATAGGAATACTTTCTTCTGTGTTGACATGTTATAGTATCTGCACTGGGCACATTTTTTGGCTGGACGTGCCACAACTGTTTGATGCTAAATAGACATTCACGAGTTCACACTCACTAATGATCAGAGAATAAAAATAGTTATGCGTATTTGGCGTGCTGTCCGGGGGGAGGGCTCCGAGCTCGGAAATTGGGCCCGAACCCAGAGTACTCCCCCCGTATCTCTGTTTAGGAAGATAATTAGGCAAGTGTGAGGAGATGGGGTGGTGGAGGGATGCTGAGAACAGTCGAGGAATAAGGGTGAGTCAACTGTGTGTTTTTATAGGCTTTACTTGTGCTGATTGAGTGAACCAGTTGATTACTGATTGCTGACAGCTGGCTGACTTGATTGTTTGATCATTAGAACGTGATCCTCCCGAAACTTGTTAATAAAACATCGATTATAAACTTGAACATCTGTCTTTCTGAACATGATGATGCTGTATGGTATTGAACCTGTTTGATTTTTAAGGGTCTAAATGCAGTGTATTTCGGTTGCATTTCTGTAACCGAAGGTGGATGTCCTTTCCAATGCAACACATCAGCTGTGGTCCAACACCAGTGTTGCCAGATTAGAAACGTCAAAGTATCGTACCAAAACCTCAAAATTATCGTTTTTTGAGAAAAATTATCGTACACAAACCAAACGCATAATATAAAGCTATTTTCCAACAATTTTATTTACCACATAATTTTACAGCCAATTTAAACAAGCTGTGTAATACGCTCAAACTATAATTGGAGGAAATCTGGCAACTTAACTTTTTTTTGCCTTAGTGCAAAAGATATGCCGACAGTTCACATTTTGAACTAGACTATAATTTAACTATGATACAGAGAGAAAAAAAGGGCACAATCGACTCTAGAAACATTCAAATTCTATTCTATTCAAATTCTTCCAACGTAGAAATATGATGCCAAAATTCATCGACATCCATTTCTTTCGTGTCTTCACTCAAGGCCATGACAGGCAATCGCCTCCACTGGTCAACGACAGACTGCTTTAGCATCGTTTCCTGGAACCGGTTTTAGCCATCCTAAAAAAAGTGGGGTCTTTTTCCCACTCTGTCCTATATGTTTGTGGCCTATGCTTACTTTTCCAGTGCTCTTCAGACTCTGCCTTTCTCTTCACTCCTCCACTGTCCTCACCTTTCCTTTCTGAGCTCATTTTTTTATCACTTCACTGCTTCGTTTTGTTTAGACTGATTTAACTGAACTGTCTTCTTCAGCAAAACTGTAGTGTAGTGTTGACGTGCGGGCGACACGGCGACACCGCGCGCGCGTGTCTGTGTGTGTGTGTTAGGTGCTTGCGTGCTGGCAGGGGAGCCTGCAAAATGATTCGGGCGCAGAGAGAGAAGCGGTAGGATGTGTGTTTGGACGAACGACTGAAAACTCTGAAATTATCGTACATTATGGGATTTTTTTCATTATTGATCGTACATCGTACAGAGGTCAAAATTATCGTACAAATACGATAATTATCGTACATCTGGCAACACTGTCCAACACTGGCTAATCTGTCTCGCCCTCAGCAGCCACACCCCAAACTATCGCTATTGGTTGAGCTGGAGATCAACGGATCTGAGCAGACTCAATGTTTAGACTTTTGGGGTAGATAAACCCATTAATGGCATTCTAATATTTGTCAATAATCAAAAACTTAAGAAGATGCATTTTAACATAACAAAATCTTACATATTTGACCTTTTATCCCTATGGTACAGCCAATAAAACTGTATTATAAAAGTATTAACTACTCTGCCTCCCTGACCAGCTCTGGAGCACTAATGGAGTTTATGTCATGTTATTGACCAGCCCACATGTTGAGACGTTTGAGATTTGTTCTGTTTTTACTAAATATGAATTTATTAATTCTGTTGAATTGCAAGACATAGATGGTCGTGTAATTTTGCAACCACACAGCGCGTTGTGATCTGCTTCAAATTAAACTCACTTGTCAAAAATATTCATTGTAATAGGTTTCTATTACTATGACGATTTTTTTTTAAAAATGTGATGAACAAGATGATGGACTATACTTTTGTGTTCATAACCACATATGAAAAGTCAAATTTCCATTTGCAATAAAATATCAGGCATTAGATAAAAATGCATATATAAAATTGAGAAGGATCATTCATAAGGCTAAGCAAAAAGCTTTAAAAAGTCTTACTACAATTGGTATTACATTATGTAATGATTTTACCTGCTGCCCAGACCCCAGCCAGTAGTGCTGATGAGACCAAGATGAGTCCTAATGGAGCCATTTTACTGAACTGGAATGATATAGATAGTGCTCAATTATCAAAACATGATTTATTCAATTTGAAAGTCAGCTGATTTCTTTAAAGATGTCATTTTACACTTTTAAGTATTAGTACAGTACAATACAGACAAAACCAAGATCCAAATGCTCAAAGAAAACAGTATTATTTACTATAAGCAGCTTGAAATGAGAAAATACATGGCAAGCTTACCGTATACTGTAGTCACCCCCTTATTTTTGCTCAATGCATGAGGCAACATTATATAAAGCTTACAGATACACCCAAGAATGTGGAAACAGCCAATAAGAGAACGGGGGCCGTTCTCGAGTGGAGGGAAAGGGGTGGTTGTGTCTGACCATAACAAATCCAAAGGATTTATACGCAAACTAGATGATGGGGATTGGAATTTGGACAAAGATTAAGATGCATGTGACCCCGTAAACAAGGGATCTGAGAGCCGTTCAATAAACAGGTCATGCAGAAATGGTTCTCTGCAGCTGCTTAAAGAAAAGTCAATGAATAGCTGGATTTTATTTGTTAGACTTCTTTTTACCTCTCTTAAATGGCCTAATCCTAATTTACAACCTCAAAGAATTGACTCTGGCATTGTGAATAGAGTTTTTTCAACCTCTGCAGCATGGCTCCTCTATAGACAAGCTAAAATGGCTCTATGAGGCAACTTGAAAACTGAAGTGAAACTAAACCACCGTGATAAATACACATCCAAAGCGAGCGGCTTTGCCACTCGAATCCTAATGAAGTGAACTTTTGTTAAGAGAGACAAGAGCCTACAATCTCTGTCAATCAAAGTGTCATGTTTTTGCCGCACAGAAGGATTCAACTATGGTCCTTTTCACCAGCTATAGTCTTGGTAACCATGGCCCTCGGCATGCCTAAGCTTTTATACAACGCGTCAGTCATATGTGATGATGAATAGGTCATGGTGTTTATGAACTCATCAAGGGTTAAAAAAGGGGGCTAATCCTTGAAACTTCTTGGTTTTTGACAATAACCATTTCCAGGAAAAAACTAGCACGGAATTGTGTTTAGGCCTGAGGGGTAATTGGACATCTATAACTGTGGGGCAAGGCTTTATTCTGTGACATTTTTTCTCAGCGGGAGTCCTCTGTACAAGGCTAAAGAGGTTGGGAAGAGTGAAGGCAAATACAAGTGTGTCTTCTCAGAAAGGGACAAAATTACAGCACAGGGAACAACATCTTTTCTTTATCTTGATGTCAGCTTTAAAGACTATTGCTGAATCTGAATCTTGTTTGTGTTGTTATGTCATGTCCATGTCTGGAGAATTATGTCATTATGATCACTAAAAAAAAAAATCAAATTTATTTTTAAGGAAGATAGCATAAACAAGCAAAATATTTAGCAAAAATAAGTTTGTAGGATTGAAATTATGAAGGAATTGATTGACTGTTGTCAACTTTGTAGTCAGGTATTAATGGGACATGTTCATAGCTACACCCGAGGTTCCTCTTCTGGGACACACACTAAGAACGGTACAGTAACTCAGTGGGTAGCCCTGTTGGTCCTCTTGTTGTCCCAGGAACAACTATAATTTACTACAACTTTTTAATTGTTGAATCACTATGACAACAAATGCAAACTTACTTACTTAGGGTACATTCACACTTTTTGGTCAGATATTGGGATTGACAACCACATTTACCTTCGGGTGTGATTCTCGAAATGTCTTGTTTCCATAACTTACAGCTTAAAGTAACGGCTGACTGTTTGAATGTTCAACAGGACATGACCGAAGTAATGTCAATTATGGCAACGTCCATAAACAGATCCTATTATTCTTGATAGCCAATCATGCTGCGAGGTCATCCATCAACAATACATGAACTGTCAGCAGCTTTTATTTCCAGGTGGAGAGTGTCCTGGAGAACAGGAATTAGAGTCGGGCATAGAGCCATAGGCGGTCTTTACAATTCAGAGGCCCATTTCAAAGAAACAGTTGGAAGCCCCCGACCCCCCGAGATGAAAAAGAAAAATCGGACAAAAACATTGTATGCAATGCGACTGAAATTATATCTCTGTTATATTTAACAATTTTATCTCATATTTCACTATTTATAAACAGATATATGAATTCATCACTAACTGCCACAAGTGCTTCAGGGAAATCTTCATTTCAAAGCTCCAAATAAAGTCGCATTTGTTCTTTATAGACATAACAAATATATAGCAAGCTGCTAGAAAGCCCCCAAAAAAGCAGTTACTCTGGGGTGGCACAGAAAACATCATTATGCAAGCAAAGAAGGCACTCATCCAACCTTAAAAAAAAAAAAAAAACTAATTTAAAAGGACCAGAAAATCATGTAACCTATTAAAAGTGCAAACAGCAACTTAACAATGCTTCGTCAACGGAGAATGCGTGCAGGTCCCCTACCCACTTAATGGAGGCCAGTGCAACCAGGAGCGCTGTCTTCATTGACAGGAACTTAACCTCAACTGATTGCAGAGGCTCAAAGGGAGGCCTCTGCAGGGCAATTAAAACCACTGAGAGGTCCCAAGAGGGTACGAGAGGAGGGCGAGGAGGATTCAGTCGCCTCGCTGCCCTCAGGAACCTGATGATCAGATCGTGCTTCCCCAACGACTTACCTTCGACTGCCTCATGAAATGCGGCAATTGCAGCCACATAGACTTTCAGGGTGGAGGGAGACAGCCTTCGCTCCAACCCTTCTTGCAGGAAGGTGTTGTCGCGAGGAGTACCAGTTCAGAGAACCAGGTCTTGGTGGGCCAATATGGGGCTACCAGCAAGACCTGCTCCTCGTCCTCCTTGATCTTGCACAGGGTACGTGCGAGAAGGCTCACTGGGGGAAACGTATACTTGCGTAGGCCCCGTGGCCAGCTGTGCGCCAGACGTCTGTGCCGAGCGTGCCCTCAGTCAGAGAATAAAACAGGGCGCTGTGGGATGAGTCGTGGGAAGCGAACAGATCTATCTGTGTGTCCCTGAATTGGTCCCAAATCAGCTGGACCGACCGGGGATGGATTCGCCATTCGCCGGAGACCGTCGGCTGCCTGGTTCCGCTCTCCTGGAATGTAAACAGCACGAAGGGACCTCAGGTGCTTCTGACTCCGGAGGTGGCGTGCGAGTTGCGATATCCGACGTGAGCGTAGACCACCCTGGCGGTTGATGTACGCTACTGTAGCAGTATTGTCTGAATGGACTAGTACGTGTTGACCCCTGAGCAATGCTCGGAAGCGGTGCAGGGCAAGGCGTACTGCCAGCAACTCGAGGCAATTGATGTGCATGAGGCGCTGGGGTCCTGTCCAGGAAAGCCACTTGGCCTGGCGTTTAGTGGGGCGCGGGGCCTGAGGGGGCTGTGGCGCCTTCCTGCGGCCTCCTCCACGACGCGGCCCGGGTGAAGGCTGCTGCTGAGGCCGTGCGGGAGGCCAACACGACTGAGGGGGGTGTGGCCCGAGGAACAAGCGTCGGGTATTTGTTCCACACCGTCACCGTCAGATCACCCTCTCTGCGATCGGAAGAGCTCCCTCTGGAAGAGGAAGCAGATCGTGTAGCAGATGCGGAGACTCTCACAGTAAGATCATTGAGTCTCTATCTCTATCCACAGAAGGAACATGAGTCATCCACAAACGCTGCTTTAGCGTGCTCAAAGCCCAGACACACAAAGCAGTGCTCATGCCCATCAGAAGAGGAGAGATATCGACCGCACCCAGAAGAACACAGGCGAACCATCTTTAAAAAGACGTGCCACGTGCAGCTCTTTCAATAGAGAGGAAATTCACTCTGCAGCGCTGAGGCGACCAGGGAGAAGCACAAAGTCTGGCAGACCACTGCACAGATCGCAGGCAATGTAGAATCTCGCTGGGTACCGCCGTCACACCAACACTGGAGAGGACGCTCGTCTCGAAGAGGTAATCTCTTGGCTCCGAAGCGAAAACATACTGCGGTTGCGTCTGCTTCCTCCTTTTATACCCACGAGGTGGGGCGGGGATACGCTATGCAAATTCCGCAGACCCAAGGCATTTTCACGCCATTGGCTGGTTTTTTAATCCTCAAGAAGAGGATTGGCTTTCTATGCGAAACCCCCATTCTCCGTCATCCGACATAACTCGGAGTGACTACAAAAGGGAACCACGAATACATGTTATATTGCACCCCATAAACATAATCACGCAAAGAAAAAAAATCAGTAAACCCCCCCGTTAAAAGAATGTTGTGGTCAATGGTGTCACTAAGATCAAGTAACACTGATACAGTCTCAATACTATGGTACCATCTAAATCCGAACTGAAAATCCTTGCAGATATATAATTTTTTCAAGAAAGGAACACAGTTGTGAGGATACTGATTTTTTTTATATATATATCTTTGCAGTTTAATCAATTTTTTCCTCAGAGATACTACAGTGCACTCCCTGATGCAATACTGTTGTAGACCATTGCATAGTTATAATTTTGTCCCGGATATTATCGATCATATAAGTGAAGAAGTTCAGAAAGTCATTACTGTTGTGTTGCTTGGAAACTTCTGGGCTTGAAGCTTTCTTTTTCGTTAGATTAGCCACTTTTTCAAATACTGTAAATACCTAGGATTATGTTTATTTTCTTCTAATAGGGTTGAAAAATAAGCAGATCTAGCAGCTTTTAAAGCCTCTATAAGCAGTCGAGCTCTCCTTCCTTCCATGAAATCTGAAATACCTCTAGTTTATTTTTCTTCCAGTTGTGCTAAATTTTTATGGCTGCTCTCTTAAGGGCCTGAGTGTGCTCATTGTACCACGGCGTTGGACTATTATCTTTAATCTTCTATAAGCGCAACAGAGCAACTGTGTCTAAAGTCCTGGAAAAGAGAGAGTTAAAAGTTTCTGTTGCAATATCAAGTTCTTCTAATCTATCCGGGAATCTAAGATGATGAAACTGATGAGGAAGATTATTGATAAAGCAATCTTTAGCAGAAGTGATAGGTCTAACAAATTTATAACACTGAGTTGGCTTTGCAGCCTTGGCTAAATGTAATTTACATGAGACTAGATGCTGATCTGAGATGTCATCTCCGTATGAGATGTCAAACCGTAAGTTTGATGGTTCTGACCAAGTATCGAGCAAGACGAGCTGGATGGCGCCTTGCATGGCTCACACCGCCGTTTGTGTATGAACAACCCGATCTCACGACCAAGTCGTACAAATTCGACGAATGATTAAAAAGTGGCTAATTCGTAACAATTCATACGACCTCACTCATACGAATTAATATACGATTTTGCTAAATCGTACATATTTTGCGAATTGGCCAATTCGTATGAATTCGTACGAAT